GTGTCATAACTCTCAGCAGCATAGTCAACAATACAGCCAATCATTACAACTGAGCACCAAAGGAGAAGGGGGGAACATCACACCACCAAGGAATGGAAAGAAAAGAAAGGAGTATGGGGGAGAGGGTGCAGAGGAAAAAAGAAAAGTCATTTTTTCTTTTCAGTCTAAATTGATTTTATTCTACAAAATGCTACTCAGTTAAAATTGTAAAAGCAAAACTATTTTAATATGTTCTTTCTTCCATAGCAGCAAGCTTTCTCTAACAAGCTTTTTGTTTTAGTGCAAATACTGTAGGCCTGTATTACAGTAAAATAACAAGAACAGAAAAGAGACAACACCAGAGAGAATGCCTCAGAGCTGAGATTCTTCAGGACTGCAAGAACGGTATCAAGATCATGACAAGAGAAGAAGGGTCCCAGTTCAGCAGTCACCTTTAAGAACCTCCTGGGCAGAAACTATTTCACCACAGACAAAAAGAAGAAAAACCATGATCTAAAACTTTTGAGGAAAAAAAAAAAAAAAGAAAAGGATAATGGTGCCCCCAAACCTTCAATAATCCTCATGGTCGCCTATTAATCACTGCGGCTTGATTCCACCTTCGACACCCGCTTTGCAGCAGCAAAATGCTACCGATGCTTTCAATTTGCCCCCAGCAGGGTGGAATCAGAATCAGGCCCTTCCTGTATCTGAGGATCTTAAAGTAGACTTTAGTGACACTAGTAACTTATCGCTCTAATAAAGATGCACTATCCCTTACTGATGTTACTTTGAGCTACACAGTATATCAAGATATATACAACAGTTTATCCTCTCACTGAGCAAAAACAATTGGATACCTATTTTCTACACATTTTAATATGGTTTTAATATCAAGTAACCACAAACAAGAAAGTGGAATGACCCTTTAATCATACAGGATAGGAAGGGAACAATTAAGTAAAACAGAAAGGGATTTTATTATTATCTTGTATTCTGAGATTTGTCCTCAACTCCACCTACTGTTCACAGAGGAATGATAATGCATCTTTAGAAACATATCTTTTTACATTTTATACAGACAACAACAAAACCCAGAATCTTTTATTTAAAGAATAAAAAATTATTAGCCTAAAAAAAGAAGAAGATTGGAGTATTTTTAATGCTTTCTTTATTATATCCAAGTCTTGAACAGAAAAAAAGATGTAAACATGATAAATAAATACGAAATAAAATGTAGATTGTTCCCCCTACCTCTTAAAATGCTTGACTTGGCCTTCCTAATGAAAATGAACTTGTAAGTGTCATAATAAGATTTCTTACATTTCAAAAGTCTGTTTTAGAATGAAAAAAAACCCCAACAACAAAAAGAAAAAAAAAAAAAGAAAAAGAAGCAACAACCAAACACCAGGAATGTGAGTTGGGAGGATGTTAAATTAATGGCGGGCAGATCTGCTGGAGCAGGCACAAGACGGCTGCCTGCCAATAAATAATAAGATACCAGGGAGGAGGGGGTGTCTTAGGTTTGTTTTCATTTTGTTTTTTCTTTTCATTTAGGATGAAGGCCGGGTGGATCCTACATACAGTAAGCAGCAAAATTAAAGGTTCAGATGAACTAAATAGATCATTTAAATAATAATTATAAAAACACAACAGAGAGCTACTGTCCCCAGCATGTTGGTCCCAAATCCCATCACACCACAAGCAGTTTGAGACTTACCCAGTCTCCACACCTACGAGAAAGGAATGGATGAAGGCAATGCCACAACTGGGAAGGGGGAAGGAGGAATGAGGGCAAAACTGGAATGGCAAACATCACCTGGAAGCTGAATGTTTCCTTCAATGCAGCTGCTACTGCTCCTCCCAGTTTGGCATTGATTAATTTAAGATGATATTAGAGGCTTCGCTGGGCCAGTCACTAGGGGGTTGACCCAATACCAGCTGAAATTCCCTGGGCCTTTTTCTATTGACTTCAACAACCCTTGGTCAGACACTAGTTATAACAGCTCCCACATCCCCATGACATGCAGAACATGGAGACACTACATTTAGGAATTGGCAGGGAAGGTACTCATGGAAAATACCGTTCTGGGGATGGGGAAGACAGTCAATTCCCAAAAAGCACACCAGTAAAGCTGAAAAGAAGAATGCAGGTCCAGACCAAAACAGCAGCAGAACTCAAGTTGTATCTGTCTGCCAGAAACTAAACAAAAGTAAGGCTGATCCACAAAATACAGAAGGCAGGAGGCCAGCGATCCCAACACAGACATCTTCCAAGAGGTTTGACAGACAAAACAGGCAGGCACAAGGTATTTGGGGCTTTTTCCAGATAGTAGAAAATAATCCTCTTTTCTGGGCAGTTTCACATGGCTCCCATCAGTATCACCGGACAGGAAAGGGGACCGTCCTGTCCTGTCTCTGAGAAGGTCAATGACAAGGTAGCAGGCAGTGGGCAAGGGCCAGCTGCAGCTCCTTTTGGCAAAGCACAAGCAAAGGTAGTTTTTTTTGTTGTTAGGCTTACTTGGGTTTGAGGAGGCACCTGACTTCCTGAAACCCTTAGTAGGAATGCTCCTGATCTCCTGGGAGACAGTGATCCTGGTCAGCTGGCCTCAAAAGTAGCTGCATCACTTTAGGATTCACTGCTTGTCAATGCTGCATTCTGCCCAAAAATGGGTGGAAATGACATGCAGAGACATTTTATTGAACAGTTTTAGATTCTCAATCCAGACTGGCCCAAACAAGCGTCTGGAAAAATGGAGACCTAAAGTGATATCATCTACATAAAACCCTATGAAAACAGGATCCTCTGTGCTAACTGTGGGAAGTTGAAGGTCTTTTATTTAAAAGGAAGTTTTGGTGTTTTGATACCTCTAGCACCAGTGTAATGATGGACATGTTTAAGCAATAAAGAAAAAGTCTGAATCACAATCAGCTTTATGAAGCAAAAGGATCACTCATATTTTTCTATTTCTGGCAGGTTTGGTAAATACCTGGGTTTAAAAATAATAGTAATAATAAAAAAGCAAAGCCTACCTTTAGAGCCAAAGTAGTGTCCCTTTGAAATGATTCAAGGAATGGGCAGTGGCCAGGGTTTGAGGGAAGCCAGCCCTTCTGAGTAAAGGTCCAGCTCCACAAGGCTGAACCCTATTAATTCCCAGTGGAGTTGGTGAGGACTGCAGCAGTTTAGCATCCTACAGGACTGGCCCTATAATCGCATATTGCATTTCTCCAGGTCCAGCCTGACCAAGAAATACCCTGGTTTGAGTTGATTAAAAAAAAAAATTATAAAAGAACAAGAAAATCTCACACCAAAATAAATAGCTGCCACCACAGCTTCAACAGGCAGGACCAAAGAGCTATCCCCTAACAACTTAGCTGGCAAGCTGGGCAATTCTAGTGTGCACATGGTCATGGTTTGTCAGCACCTTGACATCAACACGAATTGAGCTTGGCTCCAAGCAGGAATAGGTTAACACATTACTGTTTTCAGTAGTGAACATCAGTGCTGGAGAGCTTGTGCCCTCTGTGAGCACTTAGTAGTAGCAGCCAAGCCCACAGGTTGGAGAAGACAAGGACCCAGGGCTAGGGGAAGAGCCCTCTGGTTTGTATTTTGTCTTCAGGCCAATCAACCCCAACAAAACCAGATCAATTATAATAAAAAAAAAACAAACCAAAAAAAAACAGAGGCCAAAGACTGACATGCAAATAATGGTAATCAATTTTCCTCCGCTGTCAATTTGTCATTCATAACCAGAGGTTATCAGAAGCTCCGTCCAAGTTCAAACAGGTCATCACTTCAACCATGCCATTCCTGCCTGGTCAGGAGCGCCTTGTGGCCTGTGCTGTGCTGGAGGTTGGACCAGTGCCTTCCCCCCAACCTCGGAAACTGGGAATCTCTGAGCAAACAATACCTGCTAGTATCAACCGGTGGATGCATGCTGCTTTGTTTCCCAACAATGAAAAAGCCAGCTAGTTTCACCCTCTTAGCTGCTGCCTGTCTCCATCCTAGATTTATAGGCACGTGGTGCCACCTCTTTTTCGGTAGTATGTTCTGCAAATATGGCCAAGGGGAGGGGAGGATTTACTAACAGGAAGAGATCAGCCTCTGAGTCAGGAGCCCTGATGGGGAGGAAGATGCAATACTCCCTAGACAGCGGGTAGCCCAGGAAAAGTAAACAACAAGCAGCAGATTTGATATCCACCAAACTGGGGTAAAACCCTGCCAAAGACACTGGTAAGTGCCAGCCCAGCAGCTCTTCTGATGCTACTTTGGCCCTGAGATGCTAACTTGTTTTTTGAGGAGCCCAAGGGGATAAATATATCTACATTTTAAAAAAGAAAGGCTTCCACATGAGCCTCCTGCTGTCTCTGTTCGCTGTGTCTGTGCCCCAGGCCAGAGTTACAAGCTCTGCCCTTGCTGCTGAGCCCTCAGGCTCCTCTTGGTCCCCCCCCTCCACCAGACCTCCCAGCCATCCCTGCTCCTGCCTGGGCAACCCTATGTGTTTCCTGCAGCCTGTCCCAAGAGGAAAGATCCTAACAAGCCTTTAGAGTTCAGAGCAACTGGATGAAATGTCATGGGATTGACAACATTGGAAATGATAAGCGCAGAGAGAGGGGGAGAGGGGAGAGAGAAGTTGTAAGATCAACTAACCAGAATGATGTAAGCACAGAGCACAACCGATCTGATCAATTCACAAAGGAAAGGGACAACTAGCAACTATCTGCAGCTCGCCTTCAGTCCTGGCCAGGAGCGCTCCGCAAGTCCACTGCGGCCATGAAGAGGTTTCCATAGGCAGTCCCTACAGAGGGGACATCACCCTCTCCAAACAGTCCTGGCGCGTCAGTCCCACTCTTGCCGTTTCCTGCCTCCAGGGAGCTGGCGTTGGTCCTCACTTCCCCATCCTTGTTCTTGCTGTCCTTGTGCTTGAACGATCCTGTGCCTGTCTCTAATCCCATGGAGGGGGACTCCCCCCATGGTGCCGGGGGGGATGTAACACACTGGAAAATGGGGGGCCGCAGGGGGATTACAACGCCAGCAAGGTGGGAGAGTTCAAGGAATCCGAGGACTGGTCACCGCTGCTGCTGCTCCTCCGGTGAGCTTTGGAGCAGGACTCAGATGGGGAGAGAGGAGACTCCTGATCCAACACGTTGGGGTAGGTGAACACCAAGTTGGAGGAGCCAGGAGTGATGGCTGGTGTTGAGGTCACCACGATGGGAGTGTTGAGTGCCTCCTCCCCATAAAAACCTCCAGCAATGCTGATGGGCTTAATGACAGACCTCTGGGCTTTGTCAAGGACCAAAGAGGAAGACGGGATCTCTTCCTCCACAGGCTCCTGCTTCACCACCACTGCTCCGCTCGCTCCAGTCCGAACGCTCTGGAGGCTGCTGGATGGTGGGCTCCGACGTTCCTCAGGGCTGATTTTGCACACAGGGCTGTGAGCCACCAGCATAAACTCCAGCTTCTCCTTCTCCTTCTGGAGCTCAGCAATCTCCTTTTGCAGCACTGACTTCTCCTCCTCCAGCACTTCAGTTTCCTGCAGACAAAAGGGGAATAAGTAAGTATCGGAGGCTCTGGCACTGGTCCTCACCTGGAACATGGCCATCAAGTCCAGTCCCCATCTGGCAGGGGCAGATACACCCCAGACTCTTCATACGCCAAGCAGGCACCAGGTCATTGCCCGCTGAGCATCTTGTGTTTCACGTGTCAACCAGTAGGTTATTCCTAAACTTCACCAATCTAGGGGTTATAAACGGTCTTCTCATGAGCTCACCTTAATTTTCTCATGGCCAGCTTCTACCACTCTCTCTTGGCCCGTGACTTAAATAACTCTTCTCCCTTGCTGTCTGCCTGACAGACACCTTAGCAGAGAGGACTCGGATCTCCTCCCATCATTCTTTGTGTCAGGTAAGTCATGTTCTTTTCATTTCTTAGACAGAGGTAGTGTACAGCAATCTCTAAACTGTTTCCATTTTCCTTTTGTAGTGCATATTCCAGATGAGGTCTGACACTTGCCTGACTCTTGCACAAAGGACTAACACTTTCATCTCCACTGCATCCTTGGATTAATACATTTACCCTTCCCATGGTCACATCACACTGATGGCTTATAGTCAATCTGTGAGCAATTAGTACCTTCCTGTATGAGGAGCTCACCATTTCGCAGAAGTACTCACCCTCAGTCCTTCAGGATATGACCTCCCACTTTGCACTCCTTTCAATTCTATTACTTTAGTCGTGATAATCCTTAAATTCTTCCTGTAGGATGCCCTGCCTCCCCTACACTGAGAATACCTCCCGAATTTGAGTTGGCAGCATGTGTCACTGGTGTGCTTTCACTGCTGCTGCTACACTTGTTAATAAGATCATGGAATACAACCAGCCCCAGGCTGGTTCTTGAGCAGAAGTGCTGGATCCTCCTCTCCAGCCTCTTTCAACACAACCCATCCTTGTCTCCTCTTCAGCCAGTCCCCTACCCACCCCACGGTTCTTGTACTCATCTCTACCGTCTCCAACTTCACTAGTTATTTCCCATGTAGCACCAGACCACACATCTCTGCGGTGCTTGCTTTGTGCAGGAAACCAGTTATCCCCACCAAAGAAAGGTTAGCCTAAAGGATGCAGCTTTGATAAGTACACACAACATCTGCCTCGTTTTCTACTGCTTTCAGATGATCCTACCGTCTTCAGCGCTTTTGTCCTTAAAGCCTGCCTTTGAGGCAAACAGCATCTTTATTTCCACTTACAGAAGGAGACTGGTGCTAGTTGGGAGGCTAGAAGGGAGGAGTGCTCCTAGGACATTCTGGGCAGTCAGCGAGGGGAATTTAGGCTCCTGAGCTCCAGGCCCAAGCCCTCACCACCACTGATAAGGGAGCAACGTGACCGAGAAGCCTTGGAAGGGGAAGGTAGCATGCATTTGTAGCATCTTCCTTGAACGTCCTAGTGAAGGGAGAGCAATGCCCTTTGAGCTGGTCCAAAGGACAGGCAACAAGGAAGGAGAAATGTATGCAGAGCACGTACCGCCTGGAGTTTCTCTGTTAGCTCTCGACGCCTGTTACGACACTTAGCAGCTGCCAGCTTGTTCCTCTCTCTCCGGATCCTTCGCTTCTCTTCTTCCTCGGGCGACAGCTGTAGGCAAGTGCCAAGAAAACCCACAATCAGATCTGAGCAAGGCATTCCTTGAAGTTTGTGAGGATTTAACCGCAACGCAAAGAAAAAAGGCCTGATCCAGCAGGATGCTGAGCACTCCCCCTCTTCACTGATGTCAGCAGAAGATGAAAGTGCACAGTATCTCTGCCTGCACCGGGTCTTAGCACAAGGGTGAGGAGAAGATGGAGCAGGGGGAAGATTGTGTAAGAGGACAGTGAATCTGCACCAAGGCCAAACAGATAAAAGATGCTCTGATTGTTTCACAACTTGGGTGGTACATTAAGCAAAACCAGAGCACGATGTTGTAAGTGCTCTTTCTTGAAAGAAAATATCTGCTGCTTCCCACACAAAAATAGTTGTTAGCTTGAAGGTCAGGGATGGGGTGGAGGGGGAGACAGGAAAATCAGCAGAGCTCCCAAGAAGTCCGTGAAGCAACAATGATTTATACCACCCAAAAATCTGACCTCACATTTTTGAGCATTCTGTGAGATAACACACTCTGCTTCTTGCATCAGCAGACAAGGCTCCAGTGATATCAAGGGCTTCCTGAGGCCAGCTGACATCCTCAGTGATGTAAATCAGGAGCAATTCCATAGAAACCCATGGAGCGACACACTTGCAAAACCAGAGGAAGTGAGCAGGAGCCCACAAGATCTTGTCAAGTCAGACCTAACTTTTGGGGTTTGAGACAAGGTTTTACAAATCCCAGCAGCGGCAGATAGGCTTGCACCATTGCCAAGGCCAGGGAGCCAGTACAGCAGCTCGTGAAGAGGGCCGGCGTGGCCTGGCTCACGGCTGCAGTGCGTGGTGTGCAAGAGCTGGTGCAAACAGACGGCCATGGGGATTCATGGCATGTGCTTGGCCACGCACCCTCCTCCACTGCGAACTGACCTCGTGCCCTGCACTTCAGCCTCACCGGGCTGGTGGGTGCTGTTGGGGCTTTTGCCCCGTGACTGCAAACAAAAGTGAAACGAGCACCCAGCAAAGTATGTGTCAGATCTCACATAATGCCAGCGGAGAATGGAAAGAAAAACCTTTTCATAAAAGCTTCCAGCTTTAATATCTTCAGGGGGTGTCAAAATTGCAAATGAGACATTCACCCTTTTTCTATCTTTTCTTTTTAGTGTTAGTTTTATTCTAATCTCATTCTGGTTTGGTTTGCTTTATTTCCTTAATTTCGACCTTCACAGTTTCAGGGAGTTTACCTCGGCCCCTAAGCATTCCCCTTGCTCAGTTCTGCTTTTTTTTTTTTTTTTCCGGATCTGGTCTGTGCCTGCGATTTCACCTGCACACAGCATGAGCCCCAGGACACACACTGAGTGACACAAGCACTTCTAGGACTTCAGGACACAGGTTCTGAAAGCTTTTCCATCAGCAGATCACAGTGCTCCATCTCAGGGTGGGGGGTACCTCCAGCCTGCTGGGCAGCAACTGGCAGGGCTTTGGCATATTCCTCCCCCCCCCAAGTAAGGAGCCCCCACAGGCACCACTCTCTCCAGTACAGCTCTGCCTGATCAGTCCCCAGCCTGTACGTGTGTGGAGTAAAAATGTAATTGCACGTGAGTATGTGCAGTACAGCAAAGCTTTAAGCATGCACGCAGATTCTGTGCTGACTGGGGTCCTCTGCGGACAGTGTTCAAGAAGCCCTTTCATGCTTTAGAAGCACAGACCTCATTGAAATATGTTGGGATCGAAATTTCTCCTCCCAGGGCCTCTTCAGTCATTTTTAAATTATCTGTCTCAGAGACTATGCTTTGCAAAAATCTCATAGATGGGGCTGCAGCCCCTAATCTGGACATGCTTAACATTATACCGGGTCTAAAAAGGAATATTCTGTCAGCAGTTGCTGGATTTGTTTGAAAGCGGTGGGATTTGGCACTCTTCGTGCCCCTGCTGTACGCGTTAACTGTAGCTTCTCCAAGCCCAATACGTGCATTTGCTGGCAGAAACGTTCATCAAAACAGGCTCTTTTCATAAAGCGTTACACTATGCTTTCCAAAAAGGTACTCCCATGCAGTGTTCAAAGCACCAACAGCGGAAACCTGAGCCAAAGAGCCACGGTAAAGCGCCCGGGTACTGCCTTAGCACGTGTCTAATCAAAAGGACTTGGCTTTGAATGACCCACAATGAACGGCTTGCAAACAAGCCACAGGCCAGGAATTGCTTGGCAGGCATCCTTCAGCAAATAACTCTGAACAACAAATAAAGCAGAGAATATGGTGATCTCTTCACGGCCAATTTGTGAACACAGAGGCAGCATTTGTCAAACAAATTAGTTGTTGCTAATTATTCCCCCAGTTCTGTGAGAGTTTCGCTGGCTTTGGACACCAGCCCTGCATGCAGGGAACAGAGAGGTAGCTCCGGCTGGTGGAAAGGGCTGGCACGCACCCGAACCACCACAGCTGCCCCATCCTTCCTCCCAAAAACGGGTCCTCAGTGCACCCATATCTGCTCCCTGCACAGAGGTGCAGCTCACTGGAAAACTGATTTTAACCCCTTCCCTGCCTCTTAGGTCTAAAGACCAGACATAAAATAATCAGACTGTGAATCAAAACAGATGACGTGGAAGTAAAAGTAGGGCTGGTGAGTCTTATTAAAAACAGACCTCATGCAATAGCATGTGCTGGTATACTGAGGGTGCGCAGTGCGTCTTGTTACACTGCTCTGCAGCGACCCACACAACTGCTGCTTGGGAACAATTCAGGGAGATCTAGACTATTCAGGTTTTTTAGGTTTGGGTGTTTTTTTTTTTTAAAAAGAAAAGAAATCAGCCTAGCACGGTGGATAGCTATTCACCAGACAGCCCTGGAGAAGGCTGTTTCTTACAGAGAAGAGATTCACAGGGCTGAAAGGATTTCTAGCAAATGAGACACCTGCATCTAAGTCCACTTCCCTGCCCCAGGCACAGGATGCAGGGTCCTGGCTCAGTAATTCCATCAGGAGGCTGAGCACATGGCAGCAGTGGCATAAGCCACCCCATCCTGGCTATGAAAATGCCACTGAGTTGGGAGCAGAAAAATCTCTGCTTATGGATCTCCACCTCACCGCTGTAAAGCGATCAAGCGATTGTATGTTTGTAGTGGGAAGGTGGATTTAGACCCCAGACATCCAGAAGGCTCTCGCTACTAGAGCAGAGGTGCGCTAGGGAAGCCGTTCCTCCCTGCACAATGCTGGTTGGTACTGGTGGTATCACCCAAAGTGAGACTGGAGCAGCGCTAGCTGCCACAGAGCAGATATAAAACACCAGCTGATGTAATTTGGGTGCCAGCTTTGTAAAGTCCCTACATAAAAGTTCCTTTGCTTGCTCAGAGGTTTCCTTCTGCCTGGAGCGGTGGACACACTCAAACTGAAACCCAAGGCTCGACTTCAGAGTTTCACCTGCTTTTGAAACCGAGCCACAATGCGGCCCAGTGGTGTGAAGCGTTTGATGGAGATAGGGTAAGTCTTGCCATTCGATGAGGAAGCAGCAATAAAATCACCCTCCGGCTTACACCCTACGTCACCCCGAGAAACCCCAGCACCTGTACAGTGCAGGGGACAGACCTCAACGCTCCCCCGTGGGGTCAGGAGATCCCACGAGAGGGCAAGGGAATCTCTGTACGCCTCTTGCTGAGGCACCCCAAGCTGCTTTCCCTGCCATGGTTACCTGCTCATCTCTTCGTCTCCGTCCCACTGTGGTCCCAATGGTTTTGATCACACCAGGTCGCTGAAGGGCTGTGTGGCCGGCCACTGAAGACAGCGGGGGCAGCGGATGGCTGTAGGGGTGCGAGCGAGAGTAAGGGCTTGACATGGAGGTGATGACGGTGGGCTGGACCATCCACTGCAGGTCTTGGCTAGTTGTGATGGCGTTGATTGTAGGGATAAAAGCACTGCCTGATCCTGGCATATCTACTCGAAATTTCTAGGAGAAAAGGCAGGGGAGAAGAGGGAGAGAGAGAAGAGGAAAAACCGTCAATGAAAGCAGAACATAAGTGGTTACTCAGAAATGAGCTAGGCCCTCCGGAGCGGCACCAGTGAGGATCAAAGCAGCACCTGAAGCAAAGGCACAGGCTACCGGTGCCTCTGCAGCCTCCCAGGCTGCCCCCAGCAGCCACAGTCCCCCGAGGAAGGCGCTGGGCTCAGGCGCTTCCCCTCCGGAGCAGCCCTGCCCTCTCCCAGCCCCCTTCCTCATCCTCCCCATGCCCCCCCAGCATCCCCTACGCCAGCCTTCCTTCCCGAGCAGCGTCCCCACCGCTGCCTCCTGCCTGTGCCCACCGCTCCTTCCGGTGTGGAGCGAAAGGGGAATTAAGGAGTTTCTAGAAAAACACTTCTCTGCCAGTCCAAAGAAAAGGAAGAGAAACTTCAGTTCTGAATTGCCGTTACCAAGCCTTCTTCTACCAAAGGATTCCCCTGAAATTTGTGCTTGGTCCACATAGGGTTTGGTATGGCAAGAACAGCAGCTTGCTTCTCGTTCAGTGGTTCTGCGCTCGCCGCACACGCAGGGCGAGCAATCCGGCCCCAGGATGGTTACGTGCGAGGATATGTATTTTAATAGCAGCCTATAAAATAGGTCTTAGGATTCGGATCGGACAAGTTCCCTGCAGCTCTCTGCACTGTCTAGACAAAACAAGGCAGCAGTAAAACCAAGGCAGCAGGTAATGATCTCCTCCAAAATACATGTACACCTTGTTTCAGACAGAGGTAAATCCCTCTGGATAATATGCTGGCACTAAACTGCAAGGAAAACAATCGCTTGTTCCCGGAGGGGGAAGCAGGAGAGAAAGAATGCTTTTGTCTATGCTGAGCTCCTTCGGGAGGCTTTCAATGGTTAGACTCGGTTTTACAGACAAACATGCTTTGCTCCAGCAATCGCTGTGCAAGGGACAGGGCTTGTAGGACCAGCAGCCATCACTACTGCTGATTTGTAAGCTACGAAATGATCCTGTGAAAAATGCACATTCTTGGGTCAACAAACTAGCTTCCCAGAGAAGCGAGAGCCCTTGCATCAGCCTGACCTCAGCTCAGGTAAGCGTCCCAGATAAGGGACAGCACTTCAACACAGATTTCCTTTTCAGGGTGTGCCTAGTCAAGCACCTTAAGTGCTTTGTTAAACCAAGGCTACTGCAAATAGTATTTCACATTCTGATAGCTACAGCATCTGGGGCCAGTATTAACCATAAGTCCAGCTGCCAACGCCTGGAGACCAGAAGATCCAGTCTGAATACTGACAAAAGCTGCCTGACAGCTTTGGACAGCTCAAAATCTAGCAAGAATAGATGTGAGAAGGAAGGAATGAATTGAGTTAAGCGGGTAGGGGAATTACACAGCCAGGACGAAACTGGCACCACGACCTTGGCAAAAGCCCCACTCAGAGAATCACCAGGAGCTCAAGTCCAACACAGCCTCAGCACACCCCACATTTCAGAGTGCACGCCACCTTTGTGACCTCTCCCGATTAACTACAGAGGGCCAGATCTGCAGACTGTCAACACTACAGAGGAATTTACAGGAGCAAATCCCCTCCTTCGCTCTGCCCAGTGTAGGCTGTGACCACATGGCACAGGAGAGGATGCCTTGGTGCCTCCACAACACTAACAAAGGGATCTTAACCTCCCAGAAGAGAGGAAGGTCAAGGCTAGTTAAACCACAGGTGCTCAGGGGACACAAGTTCTGCTTCCAGCTCTGCAAGTGGCTTCTACCGTGACCTTTACCCGCCTGTGCCACTACCCCTCCCCCTTTCCCCGCCTGTGCCACTACCCCTCCCGTACCCAAAAAGCAGAGAAGAAAGAGTCCTGTCTTCTTTGCAGGGACGCTAGAAAGCTGTGGCTGCAAAACGTTGGGAGATCTTTTGGTGCTTTGCTATGCAAAAGACACCGTTTGCATTCCACAGGAAACGACCTTTGCAGTGGTGCCACCCAACGACCTGCTAAAAATTCCCATCAGAGGTCAGGAGAATCAGACCCACCGCCAGATCAGCCACATAAGAGACACGTGTCTGACAGAAAGATCCAGCTCTGGGCAATTGATAAAGTGACTACTCCACTTGCAGTCACTCTTGTATTCAACCTAGGATCCTTCTCTAACACTAGTGGAGGTCTCCTGGACAGCCAAGGGGAGCTGCTCCGCTCAGCCACATCCCTCGGCAGCTCCACGGTGCTTGCCTGCAGAGCCAGGGAAGAGACCAGCTGGGCTGCAGTCCCTGCCTGTGCCACGCTAACTCCTCTGTCACCAGCTTCCTTTCCAATGCCTTGAAATATCTTTAAAAATGCCCCCAAACCTATATTCTGTATTTTCCAAAGGCAGTATTTTTCCCAGATAATCGATTAAGGGACACGCTGCTGTGACAGGGTGAGTCTTCAGGTACAGGGTGCTCAGGCTAGCTGGGTTTTACGGGCATTGCTTCCTGACTGGGCAGGCTTTCCCCACGTACCTCGCCTTCCCTGCTAGGACACCGCACAGGACCAGCTTTGCTGTGCCAAAACACTGCTGGCCCCCCATGCTCTGCCCAGTGGCAGTCAGCTCTGACCCCTGGGACACTGCTGGTTCCAGTGGCAGACCCCAAATTCTCTGCCACCTCCCCTGCACAGCCCCTTTGGGCACCGGCCTCCTCACTTTGGGGCTCCAGACCTCTCCCCAAACTGCAGCGCTGCTCTGCTCTCCTCATTCCTCCCTCCCCTCAGAGAGCTCAGATTCCCCTGCCAGGCTGGCAGCACTGCCTGCTCTCACCCACCTCCCCGTTTCTCCTCCTTCCAGACACCCTCCTGCTACTTCCTCTCCCAGGACACCCGCAGCTCTCCTCTCCCGACCCGGGAGAGGCTCCTGGAGGCAACTCTGCCAGCTCTCAGTTCTCCTTATCTACGAGGAATTCACAGTGCTACAGAAAAGATGTGGCGATAGCCAGATTGCAGGGCTACACACGCAAGCACGCGCTCAACCACGGAGCCACCCCTCTCCTCCTGACCCAAGCAACGCGCAGATGAAGGTATCATTAAAAAAAAGAAAGCAACAACTAAACAGCAAACAGAAAGATTCCTGGTATTAAGAGCCTTAAAAATACAAGGTTGGAGAGCCACCTCCCCAATCCATAGTCACGGGAGTCTCCAGCAAGTCCTGCCACGGGCAGGGACAGGCTCTGTTAGCAGATCACAACCTAGGAGCATGGGACCATTTCAGGCTTTGGCTCCGTGGTCCCCTTCTCCATCTTAACAAGAAGTTTCTCTACCGCACCCCGCTGGGTCTCCACTCCCCTCCGGACCTTCAGTTACATCTGTAACTGCAAGTGCTGTGCAGCACCAGAAACCAGTCTAGAAACAGCTACAAATGGCCATGGAAAAAAAAAACAAACCAAACAACAAAACCACCAAAAAACCACCCAGACAATCTTTAACGACGACTCAGTTATCAAATATAGGGTGTATGGGATATGTCCTGTAATAAACATAAGGCCCCTGATGCCTCCCCCACATTAAGCATCTCCTTGAAGGAAAACTGGACGCAGTGCTGGGGTATTTGAGGGGAAAGCTGACGGGTCTGAAAGAGTACACAAACTCTTCCCATTAAAGTCTATGTTTACCACATGGCAAGTCAGCGACTAGGAAAATAGCATGACACGCAACTTAAAAGAAAAATGTTCCAGTGCTGCGTTGTATGGGAAAAATAATTAAAAAGCATCAAAGTTTTGGCTCAGAGACACAGTTTCCACTTAAACATGTGACTGATGCATCTTTTCGTGCTTTGGAGGAAAAAAAAAAAAACCAACAAAACTCAAGAAAAAATTTCTGCAATGCATATTTTTCTGTAGCGATAAAACTCTGCAGATCTCCGTAGACCAGAATGAGCAGAACTGCCTTACTGCTAGGGTAAAGGCAACGCTTACATTTGATCCTAATCTACAACATCTGTAGGGATCAAGGAAAAGACGACGCACAAGGCCTTGAGAAATCTCCCGGGTTCTTAAAGAAAACATTTCTGTTCTCACTAAGCCACTGTCCTGCTCAAAGCCCCGTTTCAGATAGTAACCCTAGAAACTGGGCTCTGGCCCCCGTATCAAATGCCACGCACGCCAGCTGCCTGGGGAAGATGTGCAGCCCCAGAAAATAAAAAGGGGAAAACCCAGTTATCGGTCGGACCTCGACAGCTCAAATATTAAGTGGCGCCGGAATTTCACGACCTGCTGCAGCAAGTGCTTGAATCCAGCTCAGCTGCTGAGTCAGAGGAGGAAAGGGAGAGTGAAGGATTTGCAGCTTGCCGGGCTTTTCCAGCTTCTCAGTCCCCCTTTCTGCTCCCTACCTTGTCCCGGCATTTACTGTAAAACAGGGAATAAGCTGGAGCCGAGCTACAATCCCTGGAAACCTCGGTCCGCAGCCCGCAGAGGGCACCAGCGAGATGCGTTTGGAGCAGGCGGGGAGCGGCGGCGAGTCATTTCTGGTAAAACTTCTTTAATGTGAGGAATGTCACGGGCTGGTACGGTTGGCAAAGTTTAAGACTGGACTTTTTTTTTTTTT